TTAGAGATGGCACAGATTGATTTGTTGTAAAATTTGACCAAAACACCCCCAAACATGGATCTTTCGTATGAGAGGATTTCATTTATTGGGACACTATCTCGACAACACCAGCGGAAGAGAGCTAGCACGAGCGAAGCAAAGGACACCGGAAAACGGCAGAGTGATAGCGATCATAAGCTGATCTTAGCAAACGAGCGATATGGAAGATGTTGTAAATAATAGCGCAGTAGTGTATTTGTCATTTGCTGCAGAGTGGAAAAGTACAATTCAAATTCAAATCAATTCAAAAACTTCAATAGTGCGGTCCACCAGCCTTAGCTTTCAGACTCACTGTCCGATTCACAGTCGGACTTACAGTCCAATCCACTGTCGAAACTGCCTTCACCCTCATCATGGCATTGTGTGCATGCGCGCGCGCGCGCACACACACACACGCGTACACACACCGCACAACACATGGCATTGTGCGCGCGCGCTCGCACACACACATACACAAACCCCACACGCACACACACCGCACAACACATGGCATTGTGTGTGCGCGTCCGCGCGCGCGCGCACACACTCACACACCACATAGCACGCTAGAGATCAGCAAGAACCTGCTGCGGCCGTGGTTGAGATGGCGCTGTAGAAGACACCGCAGCCGCCACGGGTTACCTCGCACCCGAGGTTGTAGTCAAAGCCGTACTAGCCGACACATCTGTACTGGAGGCTGATGTAGTACCCAAAGATGAAACTGATCCACTGGTGTTCACCTGACGCGGCGGAGTAGCGGATCCTTTGAAGCCGAAATGAGTGGGCAACACGACATAGGCGGGGACAAGCCCAGCGGATATCGCAGCGGGCCTATCGTAACTCCTGGAAGTGAGCCTATCGTAATTCCTGGCAGTGGGCCCGTCGTAACTCCTGGCATTGGGCCCGTTCTCTTGCCGGACACTGGGGTGCGGAGTGGACGTGGATGCGGGCAGGAAATCTGCGGCGACCGGCTGGACTGGGATGGTTGGGGTCGGGCCAGGTGCGTTACTAGTATGACTGTTCGGCAATGACTGGGTATTACCGGCCATCGGACCGTTTCCAGACGACACAGACAAGTGGCTGCTCCGTGAAGAGTGCGCCTGTATACCCATGCCACTTACCATACATGTCAATTGCTGAAGGAAACACACAGTTCAAACACAAAACGTAAATGAAACACGCCAATGAAATTCGATCCTTAAACAAGTCAAGTTCGCATGTCCGCGTTATCACGGGCTATACAATTGTGTTTAGAAAACAACCAGTATATAATTCTGTCTCTTCTTGCATAAAGTCAGCCTAGAATACTGACGTCAGCTTTGGACATTACTCTGACTCGGACCACAAGTCCTGATTTATTCTGACCTACATGTGTATCGTGTGAAGTAGCGCGAGAGCCAAGCTGGTCATAATAATACGTGTAACAGCCACGAACGTAATTCAACCAAAGAAGACTACCACATTACATGAGCATGAACACTTGCATTCCATTTAATACATTCCTATGTTGTAGATGTCAGGCACTGTAGTGTTCACGTCTACATACACTTTGTGGCATTCCTTGGCCACCCAGACATTCATGATAGTAGCGCATCGTGAAATGAACTTAGCGGCTTGTAGTTGCTGTGCATGAGTCTGGACTCATGATCTGGTGTGTACATGCGATCATGTGATCTTGTAGTTGAGCGTATGTGTTATTTGGATTCCCTTGGTCATGACCAAACAATAAAACATGATCAAATTATTTCTACACATTCAACAATGCCAAGAACTCACCTGGTCCCCAAGTAGCTCATTATCTTCTTTTTCAGCATGAAAGTTGGATACTAAGGCGGAGTGTGATGGTCGGCCAAGCTGGTGCTGTTTGCAGTTATTGTACTTATCCGTGAGAAGCTTCATGGGCAAGGCCCTTGCAGACTTCAACTCGGACTGTATATACAGCACCAGGCTGTCAAATGTTTCGTAGGCCGACGGCTGGTCACTCCCTTTGCCACTTCGTTGCCGGTGCATAGTGGCCAGGTGGGTGAAGGCACTGTAGCATGCTCCGACGTTGATAGTGGATTTCCGCTGCAACGCAATCTGGGCCATTCTGGAGCGAAAGCCAAAATTCTTGCGTTGTTCTCCAACTCTGCTAAATGCACATGTCATGAGGCACAAGTCTGCAGATGTGGATTCAATCATTGTACATCTCTCCTTGTTCTACGCTTTGCTGGTACATGGTGTCCCATCATCACATACATGTATCTCCTCCAATTCGGAATGGCTTGAAAAGTCATGGCCACGTCCAAGTGGCAGCCGACCCAGCAACGTTTTGTTAGTGTATGTACTGTAGCACTTGCGGTGGTACCATCCGCGGACGCTCTCCTCGGTGCAGTGGCTCTCGCACAAGAAGGTATAGCTCGTCCTGCCTGCATTTAGCAGCTTCAAACAAAGTTTCCCAACTCTGCAAAGTAAATCGGGTTTGCTTTTCCTGCGATGCATTGAACGCAATGGCACAAGCAAAATTCCCGCGATACAACGCCATTCCCAGGACGAGGCCTAAGAAGCTCCACGGCCTCTTCCTCCATCATGTCAAAAGGTGTCTACCATGCTGTGAGCGGTGGGCAGGAGGCACTCAAACAGCGCGAAACGCAACTACTATGCAACTACCAAACGAAAAATGCAATTCTACATTTCAAAGAGTATCCTGTCGGTGTCGTCGTCATCTTCAAAAATTTGAAAAAGGCGCTCCTTTCCGTGAACTGTGCACCCCCAGATGGTGCGCAGTATCGCCGACGAGAGCGGAGAAATTGGCTTCTCCTGAGCTTCTGCCCTAACTCTGAAGATGACAACAAGCGGAATCCAGGTCAGGTATACATACTTTAGGCCGTAGTGAAGAACCCAGGTTGTCTGCTTGAGACTGAAACGGAAATTTTTTTTGAAGTTTGGGCCGCTGGACTATTATATTAATTAGAGATAATACGGTAATACTGTATGTACTAGTCCAACAAACCAGACGCGTGGTACTCTAGCTCTGTGAGTGTGACTCGTGTTATTTTAATTTAAAGGGGAACTCCACGAAAAAATGAAAATTTGATAGCCTGTAGAGTTTCGGGCGCTGAGCCGAATGGTCTTGGTCCGAAGTCTCTACGAGAAAGCGTTCTTGAGATATTTCAATTATTATTTTAGCCACGCCCCATACCAATGTATGTGTGACGTCATTGTGGCATGGTGCGAAAATACTTGGATTTTGAATCTCACTTTCTTCAGGACGAAAGTCACTTCAGAAAGTAGTTTGCCAAGTCGCCTGAGCCGCTGCAATGCCAAATTGTTGTGTTGTTGATTGTGCCAGTATCACATCATCCTCCTGGGGTTAGTTTTCTCAAATTCCAAAAGGATGGAGACCTGGCAAAGCGCCGAGATGTTGCAATGCGTCGTGAAAATTTCAAGCCTATTTTCGCAGCACGAGCTATGTTTGCTCGCTGCATTTATGATCCAGAGGGACTTGAGAGCTGAGTTTTGACGAGTACGCCGTCCAGGAAAGCCCTCATCAGTGTACCAGTGCCCTCCGAACCGTGAGCCTCCAGCAAAGCGAACTCAACAAGCTGCAACTGAGAAAGCAGGGCGAGATACGTCCCATCAGGATCAGAACAGTACATCACCCCATCAACTCCGACTGCAGCTAGCTGATGAACGATATTACCCCAGTAACTTTGCGCATACCAGTACTCAAACTGTGCACATCTGTCATCAACTGGGACGCAAACAGACAGACCCCCAGCAAGTACGAAGGTTACAGAACTGTTTGCTTGCGATGTGCAGGCAGCATGCACGACGAACTGTCTCACCAATCCTGCCAAACTGAACCAGTGTAAGTTGATTGCGTGGATATGTCTCTATTTATAACAGCTACCCTACTTCTAGGCATGGTTGCATGAATACCATATCACTCAGAGCAGTTGTTAGAAGTCTGGACAGCCTAGGAATAGTGCAAGTAAAGTGAAACAAAAATATATTACACTCCGAGTTCCACGCTTGCGGGATCACCAGGCCAAAAAAAATCTAATTTCGAACAAGGAATGGGTTCTGGTTGTATGCGAAAGAAAAGTAAGTGAAGACCTATTGTGCAAGGAATACAGTGGGAACTACACATATTATACACATGCACTCACACCTTCACCCACATGCGCGCGCGTGCGTGTGCGTGCACACACACAAACACAACACACACACATACGCACCCACATACTCAAACTCACTCGCACGCACGCTAGCCTAAGGATAGTACATATGCTGTAGTAGTGGTATACTTAGTGAAATGACTATGTGTACATCTAATGACGCCGCCACTCCACGCCAGAAGACAACAAACATCTGCTGAACATTTTTGCTCCCGTCTCTTATGGGCAACACAGGGAATGAAACGAACAATGCAATTGAGAACAAGAGTCGTCCTGTACGGTGAAGTTTCCATTTTCTCATACAGCAGTATATTGTCTAAGCAAGTGTGTTTTCTCCACATTCTTTTTGCCATGCAGGTATATCACAGTGTCATGCCAAACTACATTCTCAAACGCATTCGTTTCTCAATTCTGGGGATGATTGGACACGCACATCTCGCAGCTCTTGACGACGTCAATGTCAACCGTCGCCACAGCACAACCAAAAAGACCGCGATAGGAAGGTATAAAGTCCAGTTCTCAAAGCATAAAGAAGACTGTGGCCAAATAGAAAATTATACGACAGAAAGAGCTATGAGTATGTTGACAAGCTCATGTGTGAGGTGGTAGCGGTTGCAAATGGCAACCTCCATGTTCCTGCCTTGGAGAAGCGTGTTTCCCTGCCAAATTCCAGGTGGAAGCCTCCTGAGAAGGCTGAGGTGGTGCAGGATTTGGATATCTTTGCCTGATGGTATTCACAACGCAGGCTGGAAGACGACAACGAACGTGCTTGCCCAATTTGCCGTGTACATAGTGTGTACTGCCTGTGTGCCGCATAGCGTAGAGATCTACACAAACACAGAATGTCATATGGAATGTGTATGATGAGTGCTTGTACACATACCACATTGCTGTACCGTAATAATTATTATAGTCAAATACTCATTTACTCTACATATGCGCTGTATTGCACCTACCGGTACCTACCTGCACTTTCAGTGCGCGCGCCATACTAATTTAGTGTCCACTGGTACAAAGATGGAGGGTCTTGTAGAATTTACCATAATTGCTGATTTCAAATTGAATTCCAATGATCTGGGGGATGAATACTGATTAGGACGCGTTCGATTACCTACTAGTACAGAGATGTCTTGGTCAGAAAGTACAGATTTCTTACTCTCCTGCCAGAATTTGTGCATTATTTTGGTGTACGCTTTCTTGACCCCACGCTTGTACGTTGCATGCCATGGTATACTAGAAAACGAGTTTATTGACAAAGTCTATCGCTTGAAATGATAAAGTATGGGTTCGGGTGTGATCAAATGCACCCATGGTGCTCATAAACTGTGTGCAGTGCTCTCTTCACCAACAGAACACTACCTACCATACTTTGTAGATCTTGTACCAATCCAAGGGAAAAATGACAAAGACAAATGTGAGTCATGCATGAAAACTTGTGATAGCACGGTCTATAGTACAGAACAACGTTGTTCGTGCTATGCCTGACAACAATAATTAATTACACACAAAACATTACGCGCATCGATCCTCACAAGATAAGTCATGACATACTCGGAGCAAAGAGAAATTTGTTTGTGTCATGCATGAAATTTGTGATAACTACCAGTACAATGTCTTTCTTGTGCGACGCATACTGTAGTGCGCCTGACAACAATAAATTTCCCCCAAAAAATAAGAATAAGTGTATCATGCTGATACGCGATCCTCACAAGACAAGTCAAGGCAAACTAATTGAGGCTTACCTAATGTCAGACTCTTCTGTCACTGGCATTGGCGGCTTCTGCATGTCGAGATAACCTCGAAGAGCAGTGATGAGCACAGCCTAATGCAAGGATACGATCATGGGCTCGTAATCTGCGAGGTCCGCTACGCAAGAAACCTTGGGCCGTCTTGTCGACAGCGACGGCAGCATCCTACCAGCAAAATCATTCCCGCGGGCTGGGCATGGCTATACACTTTTGTCCACGCTCGCACCAGTCGGAGTCCCAAACGAATCGAGATTCTGGTGGCCAAGCTACTCGTCTTCTGTCGGACGCAGCTGCTGACGCATCTTCTTCCTCCACATTTGTTACACGCGATGGCAGCTCCTCAGCAGAGTATCTGGGCTCCCTGCCCCAACCATACGCGGCGGTGGGCTGTTGGTCGTCCTCACTGGCCTCAGCATCGCTGCCTTCATTGCTGGGGACAGAGGATTGTTCGGAATCGCCCATCTTCCCTTGAAATACCAACTAAAATTAGTGCTTGTAGACTGGCGAAGAGAAACGACTTTGCCACAATGACGTAGGCAGCCCGTGATGATGTAACCAAATGGCCGCATGACGTCAGGGCGCGGCCCCCGTTTTTGCAATTTCAAAGTGAAATATCTCAAGAACGCTTCGTCGTAGAGACTTCGGACCAAGACCATTCGACTCAGCGCCCGAAACTCTACAGGCTATCAAAGTTTCATTTTTTCGTGGAGTTCCCCTTTAAAAAGTTTAATTTCTGAATTATACATGTAAGGCCAAACTAAAGAAGGTGTGTGGTTCGACTAACATGGACATTTTTTTTACGGGCGGGCGGGCGGATTTTTTTTTTTTAATATATATTTTTAGTACATGTAAATACACTGTATACGCGTATCGAGTAGACTCTACTACCAGCACAAGGCAGCAGTCGTACCACTCACTGCACTGCACTGCAGTACAACTACAAGTCAAGTCCAAAAGGAGCCGCCTGCGTCCGCAGACTCACGCCGCACAGCACGTAGACGTGGACGTGTTCAGTCCACGTACGTCAGTCACACGATAGCCCGCCGAAAAAAAGTTACGGTCGGGCTGAAATTGTACGGTCGGTCGGGTGAGTCGAACCACACACCTTCTTTAGTTTGGCCTAAAAGGTTTTTTTCACCAGCACGAAGTACAGTCGTCGCCAAAAAAATCCGGCCAATGCCAAGTATACGCGTACATAGGTATGGTAGGTAGATCTACGCACGCGGTACAGTCAACTTCGCTTATAACGACACTAGGCGGGGCGTCAAAAAGGTGTCCTTATTCGCGAAGTGTCGTTATACCCGAAGTCTCATTATATGTATTACAGTGGGATGGGACTTTGCTCTGGGCATGGAATTTCTGTCGTTATTCGCGAATTGTCGTTATACCCGAAGTCGTTATTAGCGAAGTTGACTGTACTTCATCGCGGGTTCATGCATGCACTGGATCATGGAGTGGCACATGTAATGCGCATGCACTAGACTCTAGTCTAGCCTCAACTACAAACAGTGCGTTTTTTTATAACAGACCATTGTCGATTTTGATTTTTTAGTTTGTTCTCATTCCAAATTTGAAATTTTTTCTTCACAGCTGCGTTTGTGTGGGTCTTGGATCGAAGAAAATTAAGTTTGGGAGTCGGAATAATAATAATTGTCAAAGTTAGATATTCGGCCGGGTTTCGGCTGGAAATCCGGTTTTAAATGGTTTTCAGTGGATTTTGATTTTTAAAACGGAAGTTTTAGCCAGGAAAGCTCATCACTTGCATGGTGCCCGGCATGGATTCGAATCCAGTAGTGGCAGTACAGTTCATCTTGATTCTTTTTTTTTCTTTTCTTTTTCGGTATACTGTAGTACAGCGCATGCATGTACATGTACATGCACATGGCTGTGCCGTTGTGCACTGCTGTCTGCAGTTCTCCTAACCTTTGTAGGAAACCAGTGAGTCGTGGCTTTTCACGACTTATTGTGGCAAACTGTACTGAATAATTCAAATCCTGTATTGCAATTAGCTCAATAAATCAAAACATTCCAGCTTGCACGTAGGATACTTCCCTCGATCCCTGAAAGAATGCAGTGAAAATTCAAACACCACAACAAATCACAAAGGCAATTCACACAGCTCCCATAAAGAGACTAACAAAAAGGAAGCATGAGCAGTTTTACAAACACACAAACACACACACACACAATGCAAATAGGTCACAATTGTGTCTGGTTCAACATCTGCGAATAGTAGAAGACCAGCGAGGAACGAAACGGCCCCAATAATTCCGTGTTTTGTGTTGCACTTGTGACGACAGTATTACACAGTGAACAGATGTGCTAGGACAGCCGACGACGTATGTCATCGTTGGCGCCGGCCTCCAGTCACGAACACATCGGCGCAGTTTTTCACGAATCTGTCCCGTCCACCAGTATGCAGAACAATAACGCGCTTGCCTTTACCTGATGGTGCTTCATTTGGTTGCTTGCCTATACACTCCTGTCACCATTGTCGTACCACCTCCTAGTAACTGTGTGACGCGCATTGACCCACGTCTCATCCAGGTATGTCTCACAGGTAGCGATGCCGCCATGACACAATCCTGTGCTGTTCCATCATTATTTGTGTGATACCTCTGGTCTTGCCACACTGGAATCCCATGGAACGCAACATTTTCCAAGAGCTAGTTTTGCTCATGTCTGGAAAATCGTCGATGGTTTCTCTGCAGCGAGCAGGAACTTTGTCTAGTGTTGGGTCCTCCTTCGCAGCATAGAATCCGTAAATTACTTCTTATACAGTCCAAAGCAAATCCGTCAGGGTTGAGTGGTTTCATGGCACGAGTCTCACATCGGGGATTGTCACTCTCGTTGCCTTCATCACTGGAGACAGACAAGGCCAACGCAGCACGCTGATTTTCGCCGTCAGCATCCCTGGTACATCTGTTCATGGTGGAAATGCTGACGCCACACGCAACAGCAGCATGAAGAATGGAATACTTGGGACCAATTCGATGCCCAGCCATTGTTCTCCTCGTCTTCGCAAAAAATTGTAAAACAGACACCACCATGTACCATGGCCCGTTCGCGTTTTGTTATAATTATGTGGCATGTCGAGAGAACAAGTTGCCACGAACGAAAAGACACTCGAGAAAAAGCAAAATAGGGCCACAGCTACAGAGCAGTCAGCAACAAAATAATTCCTCCGGCCACGAGGCAAGGAGCTCGAACAGAGTCGAAGGACACTCTGAACAAGATGGCGAAATGCCACGAGTCACACCTGGTTTTTCGAATTTCGCGCGCAGATTTTCGTGACGCAACTCGCATGACATTTTCTCAAAAGTGTCCTTGAGTACGTTCTCAAGGTTTTCAGAGTCTATTATAAAAAAACGCACTGTTTTTTTGTAGGCCAGAAAGTAGGGGTTTCCGGCCACTGGACCATGTGGACAGCACTGAACAGTCTGCGCCGCACTCTGCCTGCTAGCTAACTGCAGTCGGGTTGAGCACTGCGCGGAGCCTGAGTGAGTGTAGAAGGCGACGGTTTCAAAATACCGGTAGGTTGCAAACCGGAACGGACTCCATATTCACTTTCTCTCTTAGTATTTTGATTAGAAAACATATGTCACAGTGAGGCTACGATGTGTTATAACTTATACTCGGAGCCAAAATTTCATGGCTCTGCGATGACCAGAAGCGCCACACCAAGCAGGTGAGTTTTTGACGTGTTGAGTTTTACGACTTTCGAAAAATCAACTTCTTGTCGCAGGTAAACAGCGGCTCGCCTCTCGCCAATAAAGCACCGCATACCAATCGAAACTAATGGAGAAGCACACACAAGGCTTATTGTTATTCTGTACCGGCCGTCGTGGAGCGATAGCAATTACCTAATTTCAGACTAAGAGTGAATTTGACGTGCACTCTAAAACCTTTCCGATTTGGAGCCACCTCTGATTTGAAGCGAAAAATTGGGCAACTTGGAGGCAATGGGTCAACACAAAGGAGTGGCTCAGTTCGATTGACTCTGGCCTCAGATCAAACTTCAACATGCCAGTTTCCTTCCACTAACATATTTCGAGTGAACAATCAACGCTGATGATAGGTTTGTTTGGGCCCATACAAATTTGGCTGACCTGTCAAGCTGTTCCGGTATCCACTGCACGTATCGAACCGTCGCCTCTACATGGTGTATGTAATGCGGGCCTAGCCTGTCAGCATGTGAACAGTGAAGTAACTGCAGACTACATGCAGACCCGGTCTAGCAGTACCACTACCACTATGAAGTATGATACAGTCCATGCGGCCCAGTACAGCTACCGGTAGCTAGCATTGCATTTGGCCGGATTTTTTTGGCGACGACTATGTAGTTAGTTAGTTCGAAGCAAGGATCTAGGATCGGAATGTTTCTCGGATCTTGACTTGAATAAGTGCCTAGCCTGGCGGAGCGTCGACATGTCGACGTCTGTCGTAGGCGGTCGGAGCGCGCGCATGCGGCCCTGGTGGCCGCGCAGCATAGTTAGCTGCGGGGTGCGACGCGCCAACGGCCCCAGAAACAGGCGAAGGAGTGCGCAAGAGCGAAGGCGTACACTGCAGCTGAGAAAGCTTGTTGTTTGGCCGCGTGCAAGGACTGCTTCTCCTTTCTCCTGTTTCGTAGCGGCGTTGTGTGCAGTGTGAGGACGTAAACACCAAGATGACGACTGTTGTGCAGCAAACCGTCGGAGGCGGTGGTGGTATGAGGAACTGGTCGACGGGCCTGTTCGACTGCTTCAACGATATCACCGTCTGCCTGCTGGGTTGCTTCTGTCCCGTATGCCTGCTCTTCCAGACGGCGTCGCAGCTCGGAGAGAACGGCTGCTGTGTGGCATGCTGTATCCCATGGCCCTACGGTCAGATGATGCTTCGGGTGAAGATACGCTCTGAGAATAATATCCAGGGAAGCATCTGCGACGACTATTGTACGGTGGGCTGCTGCCAGGCGTGTGCTATGTGCCAGGAAGCTCGCGAAGTGAAGTACATCCAGATGAACCAGGGAGGCGGACAGAGCACCCTGACGGTCGTCACCACGCAGCCCCAGATGCAGCCCGTCGCCGTGCAGCCGGCCGTCATGCAGCCAGCGCAGCCGATGATGGCGCAGCCAGGCTATGCCTAAGCACTGCCGGTGGAGAGACGCTACGCTCGGCCGGTGCCTCGTGCTGCCCTACCAAGTCCGTAGCCGGCGTTGTTACAGCGTGTGTCGATGAAAAAGCACTCTTCAATTCAAGCTTCAAAGAGCGGAGTGTCGGCTTGGTGCAGCGTAGGGATAATGGACAGCCTACGTGTTGAACAGATTATGGTTAGAAATTCTCCACTTCAGAATTCCAATTATGGATGGCATTTTCTGTACCTGTGTCCTTATATTTTCGAGTGTTTCCCTAATGAGAGTTGTTCTATAATCTACATTGTATGAATCAGTGTATCCTAGCTCGCGCTCGACTACTTGTCCTTTGTTCAACGGCCTATCCCTAGCTCTAGTGCCCATGATTTTGTATGTTCTCCATCCGGGCGCGAATTCTCCAGATTCATGCTCTGATTCTGAACTCAGACTGAAGTGGCACAAGGGCTCAAGTGTGGGGTCAAAATAGTTCGCTGATTCGATGCAGACGTACCGGTATCCGCATGCTGCATGTAAATGTGGGTTGTGATCATTGCAGTGTTGTGAATGACGAGTGGGAGGGCAAGGACTCTGAGTGCGGCTTTAGTACTCTCTGGCCTGGTGGCATGGTGAAGGGCGTCCGACGTAGAGATACTCAGATGGCCGCGCTCAGACGGCGAGAGGTTTATGCACGGCCGGCTACGTGCATCTGCTTCTGTTTGAACGATTGTTACAGTAACATGTGGAGTTGCACAAAGACTAAAACTAGTATTTTGTTTACTAGTACAGCATTACCCAGAGGCTCTAGTATCAGGCCTTGCGAGAAGATCTATACTGACTACAGAGTAGATCTACACTGACTACAGAGTAGAATAGATAGATCCACTCACTGGCACACAGACAATTATTTTCATGTGTTGGAGAGTACAGTGAGTGGTGTTGGGGTGGAACAAATTCTCCAACGACGTTACGTTATTCAAGTGCATGTACCGGCGACTTAGGGTATGAATGCCGATCGATGGGTACGCGGGTTGACTTGTTTGAGTTCTTTCTCGCACCCTCAATCCCGCCTCTCCACTCCTTGGCGTTGGACTCGAGAGAGAATTATTTCTAAGCATAGCGCTTGTTGTTGTAATTAACTTGACATCGGTATACTTCAATCGTTCTTGGTACATGATCATTGTAGATCTAACATTGAACCGTGCATCTTCGTACCGGCCCATTGACTTTGTAGATCTACGATAATTATTACACTGTGTACGTGCAGATCTACATCTGTACATGACATACATGTACGTGCGACTTGTACAAAATGTAGGATCCCTCGCGAGGCGGATGTACATACAGCCTGCTAGCGCTAGCACAAGTGGACACGCCCATCTGTACTGACAGAATGATGATTGAAGATTTACACTTACAGATCCCGTTTTGCAACTGCTTTGCATACAGATTACAGACTCATTGCCGGCATCATGTCTACATGACTTTGTACAAAGTCACATGTAGATCTTCAGTCTAGTAGTACAGACAGTCACTGAATCTTTCAGTCAGTGCACCAGCTCTACGCGTCGGACGTCGTGCGGCCCTCATCATAATTATATCAGCGCTCATGATTGTCATACATACTATACAATCAAGTACATGTAATGACATGCACATACATCATTTTAAATGATGTAGCGGCGACGGTTTCAAATAGGACACAGGTTGCAAAGCGGAACGGACTCAGTATTCACTTTCTCTCTTGGTATTTTGATTAGAAAACATATGTCACAGTGAGACTACGATGTGTTATGATTTACGTACAATCATACATGTACATGCAATGCAGATCTACAGTAGAAATTGGGAATACCTGTATCATACACATGTACAATGTCATGTACATGTACCGTACACATGTACATGACACTCCTTCAGAAGAATACACTGTAAACGTTCAATCTGTCACTAAACCCGATCTTCTTTTAGTATGAAAATACCAGTAATCATTTTTTTTTAAAGGAAAGAAAAAGGACCAAGGAACTACTTTGGGTATTGTCAGTGACGTCCCTTACACCCGCCGTGACCGGTGATCAGTTACATGACATTGTACTGGACAATCAGTTCATGCGATAACATTGCACGACATTACAACTGGCTGAGAGTTCTCTCCGTGAAGGCATAGCATGATTGCTTGACCAAAGCACATGCGGCGTGGTCTCAGCTCACTCCGAATCAGATGAGATCGTTCATGGTCTTCACAGTCAGTGGCATGTCCCCAGCAGCAGCAGTGCTTGCCTTGACTGCCATAGCCGAGCCGTCCGGGTGCGTCCACGCAGACTGGTAGTACGGAGGATTAGCAAGACGAAACTCGCGTTCGTGTTCGCAAACATTTTTCAGTTCGCGATTGCGAACTTTCGCATTTTTCGTTCGGAAAAGTTGTCGGAACACGAATCGCGGATTCGTGTCAGGGCAGTCATAAATTTACCACGCTGTACTGTCTGTACACAATGTACATGTACATGATGTACGTCGGGTCAACGTCATGGATGTGCGAATTCTGTTTGCTAATCAGTCTCATAACGCGAACTCCGTCACTGAGTTCGACTTTCCTTGGAGAGCGAACGCGAATTTCGTGTACCAAACGCGGTGGCAGTGGTGACATCTCGACGGAAGTAGCCTGCTGTGGCGGGTGTCTGAGATGAGGTGAGGACGATCATCCTCAAGACATGACCCAGCACCCGGAAACGGTGTGCGAGAGTAGTTGCATGTAAATTTTAACAGACTCATGTATGTAACTGTTCCTTCACTCTTCTTGCTTCAGGTCTTCATGGTCTTTGGGCAACTAAAAAGCTGTCGTTGTTTTCGCGCGATCTAAAAAGTAAAATGTACGGAAAGGAATTCGGCTACAGTGCAGTGTCCCAAAAACCGGGCCAGGGTTACATGACTTGTACTTAGTTGTAGATCTACTGCCGGCACTGCACTATTGCAGTATTGGGTCTAAAAAAACATCTACCGGTAGATCTACAGTGATCTACGCGTCTATCTACGAGTAGTCTACGTTTTGCAGTTTCGTAGATCTAGATTTTGTAGATGTGTGCCTAGGCGCCTAGCTACTAAGTACAGTACATGTATCGAAAAAGTAGGCGGATGTATTGTAGCGCAAAATGATAGCATGGTTTGAAGTGGCTAGGCTAGGCTCGACAGCGAGTTTATACAATCGTTGTGTGACTGACTGTGAGTGTGGGCCCTGGTGGCCGAGCTAGCTGGCATAGGTGCGAGTACGACGCGCCAAGTGGCAACGGCCTCGAAACAGGCGAAAGAGAGCGCAAGAGCGAAGTCGTGTTACTACTGCTAGTACACATAACACTAGTACATGTACTCAGAAGCAGCTGGGAAAGCTTGTTGTTTGGCTGCGTGCAAGAACTGCTTCTCCTTTCTCCTGTTTCCTGGTTTGTAGTGGCGGCGTTGTGTGCAGTGCGAGGCCGTTAGAACGAAGATGGCGACTACTACTGTTGTCCAGACCATGGGAGGCGGTGCAATGAGGAACTGGTCGACGGGCCTGTTCGACTGCTTCAACGACATCACCGTCTGCCTGCTGGGTTGCTTCTGTCCCGTATGCCTGCTTTGCCAGTCGGCGTCGCAGCTCGGAGAGAACGGCTGCTGCTTGGCCTGTTTTATTCCATGTCCGTATGGTCAGATGCTGCTTCGGGTGAAGTTGCGCTCTGAGAATAATATCCAGGGAAGCATCTGCGACGACTATTGCACGGTGGTTTGTTGCCAGCAGTGCGCTTTGTGCCAAGAAGCTCGCGAAGTGAAATACCTCCAGATGAACAAAGGTGGCGGACAGAGCTCGCTCACCGTCGTCACTACCCAGCCCCAGATGCAGCCCGTCGCGGTGCAGCCGGTCATGCAGCCAGCGCAGCCCATGATGGCCCAGCCAGCTTATGCCTAAACTAAACATTTCTGGTGGCGCGACGCGCGCTAGTACTAGCGCTGTCCTGCTAAGTCCGTAGCCGGCGTTGTTACCGCGCGTGTCGACGAAAAAGCATTCTCCAAGCTCCAAAGAGCGGAATGTCGGCTTGGTGCATCTTCGGGAGAACTGGCCGTCTACGTGTTCAACAGATTATGGTTAGAAATTCTCCTCTGGAGAGTTCCATGATGGATGGCATTTTTGTGTCCCTTGGGAAACACTCGAAATTATTATTTCCAGTGTTCCCCCTGGTGGGAATAGTGATTCGTGTGTGCGAGCGTGTGGATTATGCGCAGACTTAGTTTAGGCGTGCATAGCTAGCAGTTGTTCCTACCCTAGAACTATGAATGTATGTATACCTAGCTCTACTTGTCCTTTTATTCAACGCCTAGCGCGAGTGCTTATTGCCCCTGGTATTGTATGTTCTCCATCCTGGCATGGATTCTCCACCTTTTAGATTCATGCTCTGAACTACTGAAGTGCCACGAAGACTCCTGCAGTATGACTTATTTTATGAGAGTCGAGTTAGCTGATTTTGATGTGGACGTTGCTTGCTGCATTGCAGGGAGCGGACGTTCACCGTTGTGATCGTCGCGGACGTTCACCATTGTGATCGTCTCCGCAGTGTTGACTGTTGTGAGTGGAGGGCGTGAGGTGTAGAGTGCCAGTGGTACTGGAGAGTGCTGCGCCGAGACTGGCAAGAAAGAGGGTTTCAGGGCTGTGTTCCTCTGCTTCTGTGTGCACGATGTGGAAATGTTGATCTGACATGTTTTTTTATCGCAGACCCAGACTAGGCAAGCACCACGAGATCTACCAATCCTGTAGTCTAGGCTCTACTCTCCAGCGGAGTCTTACTCATAGTCATACTATAGAAAGTTCATGCATTCGGCAAACGGTGAGTACCGGTACTAGTGTTGGCCTTTGGGGTTTGGGGATGCTAAAGTAACCGTTACTTGGACTTCGCTGCCATGCCGGTCGAGGATTGACTTTCTTTCTGGCACCCGCAATGCCCCTTCTCCACTCCTTGGGACTTGAGAGGGAATTACTTCCAAACGTAGCGCTT